CCCCAGTAGCCTGAGCAGGATAGAAGCGTCGTAATCTCCAACGGCGGGCAACGACCGTGTGTTGCAGGTCTTTGCGGTAAACTGCTCGACTCGACAAACTGCTCCGAGCACGAGGGCGAGCTGTACTGCAAAGTCTGCCACGGCCGCAAGTTTGGCCCTAAGGGCTACGGCTTCGGTGGCGGAGCTGGCTGCCTCTCCATGGACCAGGGCGAGCATCTTCAAGCGAAGAGCGAGTGAGTGCATCTGCTGTTGCCCAACCCTTGACCCCGTGCACCCTTCTCCTTTGATTTCCGTGTAGCATACTTCAACGCGGTCCCACCGGAAGCATCTCTGATCTATTGCCCATCCTCGCCTCTCGCCTCGCCTCTCGCCTCGCCTCTTCACATGAAACATCTTCCACGCGCGCGAAACTGAAAACCACCGACCGACCGACCGACCGTCCAACCGACCACCTGTCGGGAACGTCCACAATCCGTCAGCACGATTCTCCTCTTGGTCAGTCGCACCCACAGCAACTCGGAAGAAGACGCCGTCTGCGCGAACCGAACCAGGAAGCCAAAGAGCACGCGTATCTATACATACGTGTACAACATGTCCGACGCATACGCAAACTGCGTCGTCTCTCTCTCACCCTGCTCTGCTCCTCAACCCTTCCGAAATTCCCGAAGCACATGACGAAGAGAGAGTCTTCTCGTCCGTCCCGCTTTCTATTGTCCTTTTCTTTTCTTGTCTTCTCCATTCTGAAGTTAGATCTAGACGGCCCTCTACGTCCCGATAGTTGAGTCTAGAAGGTCCTTCAGGACCAGACCGCTCTGTCCTTATCTTTGGAGTCTTGCCGTCACTATTGTAGTAGCGTAGGCGAGCATGCCGTCTCGTACCTCTATTCTCATCGAAAGATGAGAATTCTCCCGCATCTTGTCTGTCCTGTTCTCATCCTGTGTCTCATGTCGTCGTCACGCCCCGACACTACGGACGATGACGACGAGCCCGCGGTCTCGCGAACTCAACATTCGAACTAGTCGACTACTTCAGTCCAGTTGAACCTTTTCTTCTCCCCCTTTCTCCGTTCCTCGCTGTCTCTCGGTGCGATCGGCCGGCGTTTGTCGTGCCCTCGTCCGACTGACCAAATTAATTTCTCTCTCTTTTTCTTTTTTATCTCTCTTACTCTCTCTCTCTCTCTCTCTCTCTCTCTCTCTGTCTCTCTGTTTCTCTCTTATACCTGTTGTTTCTTCTCTTTTCTTTTTTCTTTCTTCTACTATGCGAATACACGTGCTAGTTTGTAGGATCATTTGTACCATCTGTAATAAGTGCCATTAAAAGTGGAAAAAAGGGAATGATAAAACTGGAAACAACCAAGCAGTGTCTTTCATTAACGAGTAACACAGAACACACGTTTCTCCTCGATATACCCTTTACCTCTCAGTGTATAGATCAATTAATATGTAAATGACGTGCAAATAGTGGAGTAACGAGCGTATCTGCCAAAAGACGCGCAGAATGGAGACGCGGGTTTGGTGTCGATCAAAGTTGCTCGTTTGTGCGATTTTTAATTGGCCATTGGAGCCGGGATATGAATTCCGTGATCTTTATGTTTCGTGCTGTAAGTATGGAAATACACTTCTATGCAATTTTCTTGGTTGTCATTATGGATAAATTGAAATTCGAAAGCTCCTCGACATTTCATCGCTTCCGACTCGCGATTGTAACTTTGACCGGAACCGAACTTTGACCGTGACTCTATTCTCGCGAATCCACGAGGGTGCAGCACGCACCCTTATGGATCGTGGTGTGACCTAACACCACGCGTACTTTCTCCGTTTAACGTCGAGCCCTTGCTATAAAACATCCTACATCCTTGGCTCTTCGTTTCCCCTCTCTTCCGGCCCTTTCACGAAGGAAGGGAGCGAAGTGTGCGAAAACGAAAGTAACGAAAAAGAAACAAAGAAAAAAACAGAAAATAAAAGACAATGTACAGAAAATAAGAGAAAAAGATACGAAACATTAAAAAAAAAAAAGAAATAGAAACACACGACACACCCCGCCCCGCCAGCCCCGCCGAGCACGAGCCAACCGGAGGCAACCATTGAACGATATACGATTGTCACTTTATCACATAGTACGAGCTGCAAACGCATTCGTGATAAAGAGAAAATACAGAGCACGAGAATGGTGAGCATCGAGTCAAATTGCGCCTCTGTCTCTTTCTCTCTATCTATCTACCTGTTCTGTCTGTCTCGCTCTTTTTTTCTTCTTCTCTCCGCCGCGTGAGAAAATAGCTTCTTTTTCTTTTTTATAGCTTATATATATACGTAGCTCTCCTGCATGGCCTCTCGCACCTCACTTCTAATCCTATAATCTTGCTAACAACTTAACTCTGCCTGGGTGCTGGCGCGTGCGTTCGTGTACGTGCGTGCGTGCCCGCGTGCGTGTTAGTGTATTCGCGTATTGCGTCGATGCAATGAGGTAACGACGACCGCACACCGTTCTCTTAGCGAGACGACAACAATTGTTATGAAACCATGACGACTACGTCATCGAGATGAGTCTTGGTCCGGTGCGGATGCACTTGTCATGTTTTTACATGTAGGATGCTTCAGATATCTCAAACACTCCTCTTTATATGTTTCGTTGCGATATAAAGTTGATTATTCTCATTAATACGAACTCTGAGATATCCACGAATGATCAAAAGTTAATTTTTTTCATGAATTTAAAATTGATTTATTCCACCTCATTTGAATTTTATTTGACTTCAACGCGGGATTCGAAGTAACGAGACGACGTAGTGACGAAATAGTGGCAAAATAGACTCGTGCGTCTCATGTATCTATCGCACTTGAATTTATATTTTACATACATATTATTCAATTTTTTTTCTTTCTGTTTGAACATAACATGCATCTTCTGGTTTAGCTGACATCATAACGAAGCGTACCATGTACATTTGGCTTTTAGGACGTTCTGCCTTGTCAGAACGTACCGATCCACCAGCCAATCGTAATAAGTGTGTGCGCACCTGCTCTCCATCGCACTAGACGGGCTTCACACACTACGTATACGCTTATACGCAGCTACACCGTAATATAAAACCCATCTCGGCGGCGCAATTGTGTTATCCTACAAGGAAGACAGCGTTATCGGTGTCACCTCACTGTGTCGATGATATTCCATCTCACGGTACGGATGCGTGCGTGCGCACGTACAGACTCTCCACATAGTACCTCGCACGACGGCATTTCCATCTTTTCTTCCCTTATCCTTCCTCTCCTCCCTCTCTCTCTTTCTCACTCATTTTCTCTCTGTGTTTCTTTTTCTCTCTCTCTCTCTCTCTCTTTCTTTCCTGACTTTCTCGATCTCCATTTTTACATATTTTTCACTAGTACAATTATACCTATTATGTGCGATCTGCTTCTCGGCTCTCCTCTCTCGGGGCTCGGCGGAAGCCACGTGCCGTGGTTGCAAAGGGGAAAAATTACACTAACACGTTGACTAACACGCGCCTAACAAGCTAACCTGTGATATTATTGGATGTATTTACGTTTCTGTTATCACCCGACTCCATCACGTCCGACGGATGCTCTATTGACGCTCTAGAAAGTCGAACGTTACGCAAGAAGGAATTGATTGTCAACACAAACACGATACAAGACCGTTCTTGACTTCGTACAGAACTTCCTTGTAGTCTATTTTGAAATCTAAAAAGCTCGGAAATGAGTTTGTAACTGATTAGACTTTGTATATTTGGTTTTGCATATTAAATTGTAGGACCGAAAGTTATTAACGTTGAAAAATGTAAATTTCTTCAAATTTTGAGGAGCTGTCTAAATGAACAAATTGATAGTGAGTATAAATTGGTAACGATATTTTCAGGAAAACCGTCTGGCACTCGTGAAAAATATCTTCTTCACGTAGACATTGTCAACGTAGTCCCGTTACTCGTGACATTTATAATGTTAATTTAGAATGTGATTTTGCACACCCCGAAATAGATGCTAGAAAATCGTTTCGGACTTGCTTCCTTCTTGTAATTGCGTTTGGATCATTCGAGCAACTCCTGGTCTTGCACGTCGAAGTGTGATGCTTCTTGGTGTTGTTTGTCCCTATAGATTAGTAGCGTTCGGATGTGAAATTGACGGATTATTCTATGTATTTTAATCTCCTTGTTGAATTACATTTTTACATTGCATACACACTCACACACGCGCCTACGTGGACGCGCGTACATAGAAATCTTTGTAGTTTCTCACAGAATTTTTTCTTACAATTATAGTAGGAATTTTTTCTTACAATTATTGATCTCTGTACGAATTGGCTCGACAATTATCAAAAGTTTGATAATTATACACAGATCGGCCTATATATGCGTTAACACTTTTAGGGATCACGATTTTTAACTGCCCAGATATACGTGCGTGCCGTTGGAAATCGTATTAATAAAGCATATATGCCGAACTGTACGTTTGTTTTAACAATTTTCCTCATTTGTTTATCATAAGTTCCAGATATACACTCAATTTATAGTCATTATTTATACACAGTATATTCGCCATAATAGCTTCAACACTTGAAGTTATGCCATTTCAAATGCGTTATGCGCACTAGAGGAGTAAAACTTCATGTGTTAAAGTTATTACGCTCACCTGTGTGTGCGTGTGTGTACAGTTTCAGTACTTCTGTATCCTCGCGTATACTGTATATAGCTTCGGTTCTACTCAGTTTTCTCTCACTCTAATCTCCTCTCTTATACATATATATATATAATTGCACATAACTTTATAAATAATTATACTTAAACCAATTTTCGAAAATGTGTTTTCGATATTCAAGCTTGTATTCCTTCAAGTCACACCACTTAGGCCCTGATAATACTCCACTTGAGTTAGTTGAAAATCGATTGTTACTATTTAATTGTTATCTCACGGTTATCGTCACACCGACTACCTTATATGTGAACCATCAATTTCACTTCTCGACGCCTATCCTTTCATCTGTGTGTCAGTGTCTCTGATAGCTTACGTGTTCGATGCTCAAAGCCGCGTTTAGCTATCAAATTGTGAAGCTCGGAAGTAAAACGAACCAACATCTCCTCATTTACGTTTTCGTGAGAATTTCCATCCGGAATAAATTCACCTGCTCGGTTCAATACAGCGGTATCAGTTTTTATTACGGATACACCGCGAAGATTGGTTCGCTTCACCTCTGCAGGTCACGATAGTAGCGCATATCGCACGACGTTATTGATCGAGGAATTTTAATGCATGTGAATTTTTAGGGAATTTTCACGGGGATCGAACGCCATCTTAGAGCCGCGAGCCATCGCGAAGGCGCCCGAGGGAGAGGGATGTCCTCGTTGCGGAGGGTACGTTTACGCTGCAGAGCAGATGTTAGCTCGTGGAAGGGTGAGTTGACTGAAAAATCACCGTGTACAGTGCTAACTTATCACTAAATGCAGCAAAATGCACATCGGTGAGCGATTTGGCTATCGGTATATATTTCGGCTTCTTTGCTAGACACTGTCATTCGTGTTTAGGATCTCACAGTTTAAAATTGGACAACTAGCCAGAGGTGATCGCAATCGAGCGGCTGCATTCAGTGTTGTATGCACAATGATGAATCTCTTGCGTCATCTTGGTGCTTCGACCGATCGTTCGTTGACGCCTTTTCGAAAAGGAGACAAAGCCAATGTATTCGTTTTAGCCATGAGCCAAATACCTGTCTGACACTTTGGGATACCTTTAAAACGTACTATTTACTGTTTACTTATAAGAAAGCAGTTGACAAAAAATTTAATTTCATAAGCATTACACAGGGTGAGTCCAAAGTCCTGACACAAAATTTGCAGACTATCTTACATCTCAAAACCGACAAAAAAATTACTCAAGAGAGAGAGAGAGAGAGAGAGAGAGACACGAGCGCATTTACGGAACACGAGTATTTCAGAGTAGCAGTAATAAGATTTCAGGGATTTCTTGTAATTGACGAGAGACACTAGAAGGATAACGTCGCACGAGAAAGAATTCGGCTTGGTGATTTTTCCTCTCGAGCTTACAATCGAAGCGATATCTGATTTTAGATCGGCGGACAGAAGCCAAAAATAGCAGCCCTCCGCGTCCACCCGTCGAATCGCGACCCTAGGTCCGCACGAGGCGATAACTGTGGGTGGGTCGGTCTCCGGATTCGGAGCGCGTGTACATATCTCGATGGACGAGGGCGACGTCGCGCGTCGCGGGGAACGGCGGCGGGATTTAGCGCTAGCCGAGCAATAAAATCGGTCGCTGACGCGGCGACAGACAGATTGACGCAATCCGCGTCCTCTCCGCGCTTACTCACGTGTATTTCGGAAAATCTGGACGGAACCGCGCGCTCTCTCCCGCCCGCTCGCCTGCGGTAAAAACGTCGCGCGTCCCGCGGGTTACAAAACGCGCGGCGAAAGCCGCGCGTCTAAATTCGGCGCCCTGCAAATGTGCGTCCCCGTAATCTTATCCAATCTTCATTTCATAACAATGCGAGGAAAAAATAGCGGGTAGAGCGGGCATGGAGAGCAGCGAGGGAGGAGAGAAGAGGAGAGGAGAGGAGAGGAGAAGAGAGCGGAGAAGGAGAGGAGCGCGGAGAGGAGAGCTCGCCTCTCCCCTTTGGTTCTAGCCCAGAGACTTTCTTGGTGGTTTCGTCAGAAGACATTGGCGACGCACCAACTGGACGGCCAATCTTAGTCGGCTCGATACCCGGCGATAAAATGGCTCGCTACCAAGAGAGCACCGCGAACGAGAGGAATGGGGGGCTAATTGCCGGCCGACAATCTGGTCCGGCGATAATCTGCGCGAATGGTGAACGGCGGCAATTCATCTTTTTTTGTCGCCCATGATTCATCGGCGCGTCGCCCTGTCATCGAAATCGCGTCTCCTCTCCCTCTTCTTCCTATCCTTTCTTTAAACTCTTATATTTTCTCTTTTTCTCTCTCTCTCTCTCCCCCTTTAGGTGCCAAAAGTATCGTATTTAGAGGAATCGTTCACTCTGTAGCTTATTAAACTAGAAATAGGGATGATCGCGTCTTACGACAACAAAAATAACATGAAGAATAATGCTCGTTGATTCTAAGAATATCTCAATTAAAAATCGTACGTTTCCGTATATTCTGTGTGTCTGTTGTTCCGCGTGTATTACTTATATGACACAGTCGTCATTATTTATCAGAAAACTGATTATAATTGAAGAGATCAAGCTCTCTGTAGCGAAATCTTCGACATACCGCGTGAGTGTTGCTGAAATACCGAGAGTGTCGAAGGGAAGAAAGGGAGAGATTAAGGGGACGCACCTTGACGATTCGTCGCGGCACCAAGTACAACGTCCGCGATATCGATAAAGCGCAGCTGAAAATTGCCGTTGGTCAATCCTCGTTCTTGTGATTAGGCTTACCATAAAGTGTGCTTCAAGTGCAAACTGTGTCGACGGACTCTGGACTCTACGCTTCATTGCGACGGTCCGGATCGTGAGATATACTGTCGAGGTATCTTTCATCTAGAGAGAATCTACGATAATTCCTGGCACTGTCTATGAGTGTCTTGCGATTTGACGTACAGATATCCGTACTGACTGCCCTGTGTTCCGACACGTTGGACGATCATCACCTCCGGGACGTGTCTGTCTGTCTGTTTATTTCTGTCTGCCTCCGTTCATCTTCGTCCGTTCGTTACCGGACCGATTTGTTTCCCATTATTGTCGCCCATTAAAACCAGTTTTGCGAACTCTCTTCCTGTACCGCTAGAAAACAGCCCCCGAGCGCACAGGGGTTGCAAAGTGCCGCGAAGGAAGGACCACGAGCGTTGATCGCTCCGTCACCGTGTTGCACTATCATTATCGTCGTACAAGACGCGCGTTTGTCTATTCGCTCCAGGACACGCAAATTGAGATAACTGCGATGGATACGTAACGCTTGTCATAATTATTACACCTGCAGAAAAGCACACATATCAAAGATCGAATTGAGAGAAATGAGGCTGAAGCGAATTTTCATCTTTTTCATCTTTAATCGTCCGAGAAATTCGCAGTTGAAAGAAAATCGCGGTAATATTGGTATATACAGAACGTCGGTATTATACAGAATGTCTGACACAAGCTACGGCAGTATTGTATAGGTAGAGTGCATTGAGCTGAATAGGAAAGCCCTCTACCGTTTGTAATATTCCTGTACATTTATTCGCTGATATCCTTTAATGAATTTTTTAGTAACTCTATTGTGTAAGTCACAATGGAGGACGTTCCTGTTCAGTTTGGCACCATCTATATGCACAAGAGAGTGGCTGCGTTTAGTGGAAGTCCGAGCTTAATGATTATTGCGTCACAGAAAATAGTCGTTAAGCGCTCTTTAAAAGCTGGCTTCTGCTGAACGCAGCCAGTATCTGTCTTTGTTATCGTGAAGCTTGGAACAAATCGTATTGGCGGGCTCCAAGGAGCTTTCAGTGTCTTCTCTCCCGAACGATTGTACAAATGAACGAGCAATATTGTACAATGCAACACTTTTCCTGGGACTTTCAGTGACTAACCCATCCTTTGTGTTTTGTGCAGCAATGGCACAAGGAATGCTTTAAGTGTGCCAACTGCTCCAAAAGATTAGATTCCATCAACTGCTGCGAAGGTCCTGACAAGGACATCTATTGCAAAGGTGAGGATGTAGTATAAACACGCGCACGAAGATGTAATGTACGAGAACCGAGATCTGTTAAATGTCGGAATACTCTTCTGAAGCGCGAGCTGTGAAATGTTGCATAATGCATTTCTTCGGTATGAATACCTACTCTATATAAGACATCGATTACTATCAAAATACTTGAAGACTCGCGGATTAATTTGCCGCACTGAGAAGTGGGTTTTTATCTCGACTAACCGGTTCAGTCTCTGACGTCTGACGAAATTGGAAAGTTCAAGATTAAAATTCACATCTGTTTACCGCATAACATCGACTCAATTATCAAAATAAATTAATCGACTTATTCCCGGCAAACACATCGAATTTGTTAGGATCTAAGAGTTTATCGCTGACAGATATTTCCTAACAGAAACTGATCACATCTCACATCATACAGCGATGTCGGAAGTCTTGCTAAACTAATTAGCAGCCAATATTCCGCGTTAAACGCGGCGACAATCCGTTGGAAGATAAAACCACTGATCAGAGCGGCACTCGAGTATCAGAATGCACCAACATATCCATACGATTACGTCTTCGTCGCGAACGAGCGCTACATGATAACGCGAGACGAGGTGAAACCTTTAATCGATATTATCTGCAGTATGCTACGGAAAGAGGTTCGGACCGAAGGGTTATGGCTATGGCCAGGGTGGCGGCGCCCTGCAGAGCGACTGTTACGCCAATGGGTGGGTTTTCAGAATCAGGACTGAGACGAGAAGCACGCGAGAGAGAAATTCCGCCTCGGCTTCTACACTTTCACTATATATGATGCGCTTGTCTGCTTAACAGCTTGCTATCCGAAGAAATTCGGTCCGCGGGGTATCGGCCACGCTGGGGTTATGTGGATCGGGCTGCAGTGCGATATTGAGGATGAGGGGTACGCGCCCCCTTAGTTAAGCTATCATGATCTTTTTGCGCGCGTACACAGGGTGCCCGATGAGGAGAGGCGCGCGCAAGTGGCGATAGTTTTGCCTTCGAGAGATATGCCGCTGATTTTTCCTCGCTGAACTTTTCACAGCGCTTATTTTCATCGCTCAGTGCGTTGCTTGTGACCGTGCAGAGGTACTCTGTGACTCAAAGGATCCGTGATTAAGAAAATATGCGCTCTGAATTTGCAGATGTGAGCTTTTTTTCCTTATATCTGCTCGCGTATCGAGTGTAAAACAACTTCACAAGCGGCATATAAGACCGACGATTAGAAATAAAGTATCCAGAATAGCGGTAGTATGATTCCACTCTTAGAGAGTTATAGATAGACATTTTTTAGGTCTCCAGAATCTCGACTAATGTTAATATTAATTAAACATTACGAGATAAGAGAGACGAAAAAGCTTTTGAATTAATGTTTGAATACGTAACTTAATATTTGTGCAATTTCTCCGAAATACTTAAGGTTAATTATATTTCTGCAAACAGGATTATATTCTAGAGCGTACACACACACACACACACACACATACACACGTCTCAGAACAGACGAGAGACTTCGCTTTTTTGCATTACATAATTTATTTTAAAGCATACGAAGATGTAGATTGCGAAAAGATAGCGGACGTGAAATTGCAAAGGTCGAATCCTCACCGAGGAAAAGTCGGTCTCGACTTTCTCGACAAAATTGTCACCGGCATGCGCCTTTTCCGGGACATTCTGTACACGTGCGCGCCTGTGTGTGTCCGTGTATATACAATATACATATATACATACATATAGACCGACGCCTTAACGCTTTGCGCTACTACTCACCTTGGCATCACGAATCGGCCGATCATACCGGAATATCGAGTGTGATTTCTCAGTGGCGATCGACTCAAAGAGATTCGTTTTTGAGGAGTTCGTAGAGAGCCCGCGGGCTTTCATTGTTGCCAGACTCTACCACATACATTCGACATTCCTGTTGCCGCACGGTCTGTACGTTGTGCATGTGTACTTATGGCGGTCTAAGCCCGAAGTTGGTGTAGCATCCAATTCGTCACTAACACCCTCTGCAACTATATACATCATTATAACTTCGATACATGTATACGTGGATCCACGATTCTCATCTTCTCCCTTGACCGAAATAATAGGTCGAGTGTGTGACAAATAATTGAGACCCTGCGGGAAGGAAATTTCGTAGTTGTCTGTCATGGCCACGAAAGAAAATACACAAACTAACTAGTTACATTTTCACACGGAAAAAAAGACGTTTGGTTGGGTTGACCAAATTTCCAGTGAAATATGGACGAACTAAAAAATTCTGGTTGAAGTTACCAGAATATAGTTTTGCTAAACAGAAGTTGTTCAATAAGGACTTCTGTTCCCGCGCACATTTTTTATAGAAATTTTTCTTACTTCCTGTATCCTATAATACAGTAATACAGTAATACAGTATCCAGTAGTACAGTAGAAAATTATACAGAGTATAGAACAATCTCAATTTCAATAATCTTCTCAAATTCGGCCTATTTATATGTAATATGTAAACCTTATATTTTTGTAATACGATGGAATTTTTTTTACGATTGAGACATTGTTCTATCCTAAGATTTCTGCCTCGCGAAAATCACGTTGCAAGAAACGCGAGGATTTCGACATTTCTTTCATGCACCCTGATCAGACAATTGCCGACACGGCCTAACCCTGTTAGCATGTGATTATGTTGTTTCATGTTTGTGCGAACGAGTTGTACGGACAAGAAAAGCGAGGTGATTTAAAATTCGTCCTTGGACAATTAATCTGATACTCGGATATTCAGTTGGGCTTTTCAGCACGTGGTCTAAACGTCCAACAAACTTTCCTTTGATGGACGTCAAGACGATCGGACCAGGCAGACCCGCGCCAATAGTTTCTCCTTGATCCGTGCGGCTCGATTATCAGCTTTATCATCTCCGAATGAGCGCAGTGAGCCGCGTTATAACATCAGGATCGATTTGCACGATACAGCGATGCAGCTCCACGCACCACCGTGATCGACACTGCCGCGATCAAGGCCCCACCGGGCAAGGGCTGCCCGCGCTGCGGCGGCGTCGTCTTCGCCGCCGAGCAGGTGCTCGCCAAGGGCCGTGAGTGGCACCGGAAGTGCTACAAGTGTCGTGACTGCACCAAGACCCTGGACTCGATCATCGCCTGCGACGGCCCGGACCGGGACGTCTACTGCAAGACCTGCTACGGGAAGAAGTGGGGACCGCACGGATACGGATTCGCATGTGGCTCGGGATTCCTCCAGACCGACGGACTGACGTGAGTTGCCCGACTCTGCTGCTTGCCTTCGATGATTCGGTCTCGCTGGCCCTGCGAATGCCGTGAATATGACTCGATTTGAGTATGACTCGCTACGAGCATGAATGTAAAGCACGGATGTAATTTTAACATGGTTCATTCGAGATAAGACAAGAAGCGCAGCCGTTGAACGAATTTCTCCCAGACACGTCACACAAGTACGTTGATACAGTGTGGGAAAAGAAACGTGATTTAACAAGTGCGATTTAAAAGAATCAACGGGCACAGTGCGAGGTCGAGAGATGAAATAAAACCGAGATTAAGACTTGTATTAAAATTAACGGGCTCATAAAACACGATTTCGCGTCTAGACGAGTTTCGAAGTGGCGCGATGCGATTTTGGGCCCATAATTTATTTACTCGATTCTAATTCAGCTTGAGTTAAATTGAATCAGACGGTCGTGATAAAAAAGGCTGCGCTCGAGTTCAGTAAAATAATTCGAGCTCGTACAATCGGAATTCCGTTGTATTAATTCTAATTATTCGCAGGGAGGAAGAAATTTCGGCCAGTCGACCTTACTACAATCCCGATACGACCTCGATTAAGGCGCCAGCTGGACAGGGCTGCCCCCGTTGTGGCGGCATGGTGTTTGCCGCGGAGCAACAGCTCGCCAAGGGTACCATGTGGCACAAGAAGTGCTTCAATTGCGCCGAATGTCATCGACCTTTGGACTCCATGCTGGCGTGCGACGGCCCCGACAAGGAGATTCACTGCCGCGCCTGTTACGGAAAGCTCTTCGGGCCCAAAGGATTCGGATTCGGCCACAAGCCGACTCTTGTCTCGACGAACGGGGATCACGCTCCTTCCTAGTAAGTGAACGTCTCGATTCGCGGTAGATCTCCCTTAGTATCCATAGGTCTTATGCTGAACTCATAGCGAACGCTAAATATGCCTTTTCAATCCCAAGTGCCATCTCAAGTTGATATTTTAGTTTCAGTTGCGATCTCAATCTTCCAACATCTGTATATTCTGAAGAATCATTGTATGTTTAATACACATGGAAACTGAAGTCTTACTTAGCGCAGGAAATGTACAAAATGTCATTTGTAGGTTGTGAAGACCTCTCAGCAAAGTTAATGGTCCAAATAGAATCACGAGAGGTTGATGTAGGCTTCTGAGCATCAAAGGCATTAAATGGAGTATTGAGGTCGAAAGTGAGATCAAAATTTTGAGATGTTTCTTAAACAAATATCATATAAAACGTGGTTTTATCTTGAAGATCAGGAAGATATGTTCAACATTTGCTATACAACTATTTTTTCCCTGAAAGTTCAGAAAGTTATGTTTTTTTCTGAAATTAAGCGTTACAAGGGGAAGTACATCATCGAGAAAGTTCAATTTATCGATAGTGGCCTCGATGAGATTTTCGCTCGCGAACCGATTTCATGATTAGATCCCGATCAGTTTCTGATCCTTTGCGATTCACCTGGTCCAACTCTTAGACGACGTTGCTTTCCTTTTCGTAGCATCGACGCCAAGCCACAGGTTGGTCAGAAGCGAGACGACGGGCACGGTTGCTCGCGCTGCGGCTACCCGGTGTACGCCGCCGAGCAGATGATCTCGAAGAACCGCGTGTGGCACAAACGATGCTTCAGCTGCGGCGAGTGCCACCGTTCCTTGGACTCGACGAACCTGAACGACGGCCCGGACGGGGACATCTACTGCCGCGGCTGCTACGGCCGAAACTTCGGTCCCAAAGGTGTGGGCTTCGGCATTGGCGCGGGCACTCTCACGATGGCCTAATTTATGGGTCACCCCCTACGTCGCTCCAAAAGAATCCTCGCGATCCAGTCTTATATATATATATCAATGTAAATACATAAATATATATTTATACGGGGTATCCAAAAACTGTTATGCAATATTTCAATAGCGTATTCTGGGTCTTAATTAAAATCGACGATTTTAATACGAATGTGTCGAAGGAGGTCTTTACTTATCGCAACTGTTCAATTTTAACATTGTGTTCCTTTGTAACTAAGTTTTGAGTTAGAATTCTTCTCAAGCGCACGCTAATTGAAATTAACTAGAAAGATTAGCTAAAGATATAACTTCATTATTTATTTGGCCTTCTGTTCTTCGGTTTATATATTAGGACTTTCAACTTCAATCGAACCTCCGAATACGTTATTAAAGTATTAAAGTGCACGACAGTTTTGGGATAGCTTGTATAAAGGCGTCTGACTGTGTATCCGACGACAGACGAACGCGCTGCTCCGGGAATTTCGATTTTTCCTTTCTTAGCTTACGACGATTCGATGATGTCGATGACTTCATTCCCGTTATAACGAACGGCGCGCTAGGCTTCGGATGATGATACGGAGTTCGGTTGATTCCACGTTTAACGAAGATCAGTCGCGCACGGACGAGCCGACACAAATCGCCGATAACTCGCCGTGACATGAGATCGCGCTCGTATCGACCGTATTACGGATCAATTAGTCGCAATTAACGATCTATTTATCCGTAGTGTAAGTGATTATCGCTTTTATGACGATACATGAGATACAGTCAGTTCTCTCTCTTCCTCTTTCTGTAAAATGAATATAATTTCGACATTAAACAGACAGGAGGATGCGTGCAAAAGAGGGAGACGTTTAAAGAGGGAAACGTATGTACGTGCGATCAACTGATCGCAACGAATTGTCGCGAATTATCGACGATGTATCGACTTACTCCTGCATTCAACCGGATCCACTCTCGTCCAATCGTCGCGATGACTTGCACTAAGCTACTGCGAAAATTTCACAGAGACCCGTGGATCGCGCAAGAACAGCTTGTAAGTCGAGTCCGCAAAGTGCCAGTGATTTCGCTTACGATCTGTTCGACGATCCTCAGTTCTCTCTGCGAGTTTCGTGGCGGCTTAGACGATCCTCAATGACGACCTATGCGCGAACGACTAATTTGATGACAAGCAATTACGAACGTACGAAACTTTTGTTACTTTTCTCCTTTTTTCTTTTTTTTCTATTTTTGATCGAGGAATTGGAGATTACGACCGCGAAGATCGTTCCGCGAGGTGTCGGTCTTGAAAGAAACGCTATAAAAAGGCTAAAAAGTTAGGTGAATCCTTGTGTTCGTATTTGGTTTGGATCGAATCTGTCCCACAAATTTTTATATTTTTTTATTTTGTTTTTGTTTTATTTCGAGTCGCTAGAAAGCGTATTTTAAGAGAATCACAAAGATGTTTCCTATCGGTGATTTCTCATGATTTAACATTCTCGATTGTCAATGTTATTCGGAGATAAATGTAGAACTCTAAGCGACGGTTTTCCGTTTCCTAGATTAATACGACAACGCGAGATAGAATGCATCACAATTAAAGATGCTAGCTGGTTAACTATTTCGCGTTTAAAATTCAAAATTAGGCCATGGCAATTGTAAAACTTCCACCAGGGATGAGTATTACCTTCGAATCTGATCTTAACTTTGGGACAGGAAAGATTTTGAGGTTGGCAACGTAATGATTCTATTAGCTGGCATCGATCATGCCAGACATCCGCGGACGACATAGGCGGATGAATACGAATAAAAATCTCTATAACCGGGCTACGACCAGCAGCAACGAACTAACCGACACGACTAAGACGAGAAACTAATTTAATTATGATTTTCAATAAATGTATACTTGAACATCTGGAAGATTTTCTTTACCCAAACTAATTGTTGTGATAGACTTGTGTTAAAAAATAACGACATCTTATATTCTTCCTGAAATATCACACGATATACCATGAAATTGGATCTAAAGAAAATAATTTAGTGAGACGAATTGGAGTAAAAACGTGGCATGAAAAAAATATACGTAGAGTAATAATTAAATGATAAGACGATTCCGTAAACGGCTGTTATGTCGTCCTGAGTAAACGATGCCATAATTCGACAGAACGATGGTCTGTGGGAATAATTCGAATGGACTCGACGGAGCAATCAACGGAGAGTGAGTATGAGTACGGTGTAAAACACTAATTTCATATATTTATAGCAACAACTGTACAAGTTTTTCCGGTCACACATATCTATAATTACCATTCGTTAACCTTAACAATAATGGCGGGAGCAACGAAGCTGTTCAGAGTCCACGAACGCTTCCTGGCTTACGGAGACGAGCCTTTCCCCTCTCACGGTCGTCGCGTATATAATCGATAATCCGCGTCTTCCTCGGAGACGAGCGTGCGGCTCGCGCTACGCGCCAGTATACGCAGTATTGTAAAAGTGTCTCGTTAAAAAATCACATTCGTTATCGAACTGGGATATGAATCGCCTCGGGACACGATAGAAATTATCGCACGCTGTTGCCGTTCACCTTCGGAGGACCAGTGCCTGCCGCTCGTCCGCGAAATGACGTTATTCCTACACACAGAAAAGTATCGTTCTTCTGCTGAGAGAAGCGATTTTACTCAGTTTACTTTCCTCCTCTTATTTTATTTTCTTCTCTAAGTAATGGTTATGCACAGCACTGAACATTCTCTTGGCAACACAGTCTTGAAATGTGCCCATCAAATTTGAGAAAAGCTCATTATCGTGTACTCAAAAAGAAAAATGATCGATTCTTTCTTGACAAGAATATTTTTTATTAATGCAGCTTACGTGTCAAGAAGAAGGACTTGGTTTTCCAATTTTCCTCTCATCTATCCGGTTCTCTTATACTTTATAAGAATATCATAAAACTTTATCGAAGAAAAAGTTGGCACGATTCTGTGTAGCAAGCAAACCGAATTTTCGTTTCAATTTAATATCTTTGGTCGGAATGCTGAACTTACTAGGATTCAGAATGTATTTCGATTAGATTTGATGCTTATGACGAATTTATGAACTTATAAACTTATGAAGTAACATTCATCTGAATGCGGTATGTATTTTTCTGTGTGTAGACTCTTCTGCACTTCGTGGACGATCATGGCTGAATTTTCGCTGATCAAATACTGGGTATTGGTGATATCGGCCGTTGTTCCAATACTTTTCACACATTGCTACATCACGATTAAGGCTGAAAATGTTCGGACAATTTAACTGAATTACACCTCCGATTCTTTGAGTAGTTTGGATCTGAATTAATAAATTCGCACATTCAGGCAGGCTTGAATATATTCGGACATTAAGATTCGAATTATCCAGATAATTCGGATGTCCATGTTTGAGTAATCGAATAATTCGGTAAATCAGCTATGTCGAAATCGGGACACCCGAGAGAATTCGAATCGTGTTCCCAGTATATCATTGTATTATTTTTTTTATTATATCGAAATTCACGATATTGAGTAACTAACGACACTTTCTCCGGCAGACGGCAAGGAAAGCATTCGTGGCGATTTTTCGAATGCGTCCAGCTTAGCTTCAGTTATCAGTGACGTTGCCGTAATGAAGCCGTTCGTTTGCTGGCCCTCTAAAAGGTTCACGGCGAGTTCGACGAGACTCGTGAAAGGAAAAGATACCTTCAGGTTAAAACTATACATACCTTCGCCTTAACTAATGTACATTTATACATCTCACTATAAAATAGATTCAGTCGTAATCGATAAACTATACATACGCGGAATAAGGTGCGCTCGTCATCGGCGCGTGACCAACGAGTCACACCGTCGTCAAACATTGTCCATCGTATTGTGATAAGACAGGTACCCTCGCTCTTCTTGGTACGAAACATACAGGACGGTATGTGTGTGAGTATTTATCTTAAGGAGGACATCCTAAAGAGAGAGAGAGATTCCGTCGAGCTGCGAATCGACGAATCGTCCGGCGCGCTGTAGCGACGATCCCGCGATATGAGAAAACCTCCCTCGTCGAGTCGAGTGTCGCGCACTCTTCCCCCATCGCCGGATTAAGAGAGAGAACGGTCGGATAGATACAATTATACGCGACGGCAATACGCGAAATCGATGTAGCCGCTTGTATGCACAGTCTCTTGATCAATCCATCAATCAATTCGGAAAAACCGACACGCCAAATTTGCCGCGGCGACGAGCCTGCCCCTGCAATTTTGCAGAATGCCTCACCGTGCGTCGAGTGTCGTCCTCACGATCTCAAGCGAGAGATTTTTCGCGCGCCGATCGCCGTTCTAACGCTCGATCGATCGATCGGTCATTCGGCAGCTGTCGGTGGAATCGCGCGTGTCGAGTCGGTGTGCGAAGCACGCTCGGTATTTGCGTCAAAGGATCTTACTGTGTGGAGGTATATACTTTTTCCTCGGTTATTCCGCTACTTAGTATACGATAAATATATCGCGCGCGCGAGACCTCGGCGGCCGTAATTTTGGCAAATCAATCCCGGTGAACTAAACGCCAGTTGTGTCCGGTGTGATGCTCTCGTGAGTTTAATAGTACTCTTACAGATACTATTCTACGCTGCTTTCTCTCTGTGGTTAATCCTACACTTCGGTACTATCGATGAGAAGTAATGGAGATCGGAAGCGCGTGTACCTCAAAAATGAGCTTCACGTTCCACGACGAGACAGAGCGCGATGAGTCGTTCTCTTTCTTTCTCTCCTTATCCCCCTCCCCCCCCTCTCTCTCTCTCATATTCTCGTCCCCCCGAGTGTAAAACTCATCTCGCTTCGTGGATATAATTACAACAAATGGAGCAAATGAATAAAGATGGCGTGTCTTTATTCATTGTAATATTTAGAGCACTTTAGAATTACCGACTCCACGGTTGAATTAACGGTCACAATAGTTCCGTTCCAATATTGAACACGAAGCGGCTCTCTCTCTCTCCATTCTGAGTTACCGCCTCGTTAAATCGCCAGTGAGAAATTCATGATTCACAATGCACGATTCATTTATTCGTGACGAGTTAAATGATATAGATCCGGCTGGTTCTCTCAAAAATGACTCCCTTCATATAATTGTCCGCACGACTCTTTGATCATGATTTCCAACGTAATGCAATTTTCTCGGGGATCGACCCAATTACTTTTCACGTGGCATCCGGACCTTTGGAGACGCGGATGTATGTATATATTCGCGCGCTCGCGACTCGGACTTGCGACCCCGCTCGGCGAGTGACGGCGAGCAACCACGACTCCGCTTCACTTTCTAGCCCTCGGAAGCGTTGAAGCTCTCATTTGAAGTAAACGCTCTGCAACTCCACTACTCTCGGTATTAATTGGAATTTGAATCCGATCCGGGTTTGTTAAATCCATTCATGTCGCTCTCAATCATCGTCGACTAGGAATCTCGGTTTCGAGCCGGATGAGCGACGCGTCAAGGCAGCGTTTCCCGAGTTTGACGCCACCAACCGTGCGAGCATGCGAACGCACGTGAATTAAAACGACCGCGAAGATTGCGCTGGAGGAAACATGGTACAATATCTCGGCTTGAAGCGCGGATGTATCACAGGAAAGTAAAGCGGAGCGCGACGCGTTCTCGTAGCTCTCGAAGTGACAAATCATTGGCTACGGCGAACTGAGGGAGCAGTAGCATTGTGTGAAAGTCATCAAACGATATTCATTTCGATCCTCTTCGATCTTAACGAGCCAATCAGTGTTCGGTCGTGCGAACACGTGGTCATCGAAGCGACGACACCTTTCGCCTCAATTTTTCACGAGTTTTCGCTGCGCGAAACTCGACAGACGCTGCCTCGAGGCAAGCCCTCACCGCGCCTGAGTGCCTCTGTCAGTCTGCATGTCTGTCTGTCAGTCTGTCTGTGTAGAAAAAAATATGAACGGCGCGTCCTTACCGGAAGGATCCTTCGAATAAGCCCAGGTCCTCGAGGATGCTGCGCTTCCGCGAGCGAACGCCGACGGACTCGCGAGCGGCAGAGAACAGGGCCGGCAAAGGAGTGCTGCGAGCTTTCAGCTGCGAGCTTTCGACTGCGAACGGAGCAGCGTCGTCTCCACGGGTGATCTCCCTCGAACAGTCGGCTTCACGTATTTACACCCCCCGACGCGACACGGCGGCGGGCCGACGGGCCGCTTAGTAGAGGTTCGCGGTTTTCAGCGGCAGCGGGTCCAGCAGGTAAGGCGGCAAGGCCGCCGAGAAGGGTCTGGGACTGCAGGAGCCCCAGGTGGCGCCACCGCCGCTGACGCCCCGCGTGTTCGGCGAGCCACCGTCGCCGGTGCCATCCGCACTGGAGTGCTTGATGTTCACCAGGCTCTGGTTGGCGATCGGCTTGATCTCGTTCGACGACAGCACGCTGTTCGAGTTGCCAGGCGGCGTCGCCGGACTCCTCGGCGAACGGCCCTCGGCTTTCACGGTGCCGGCGACCGGACTGGACGCGCCGCTGTCGGCGCCGATGCCGGTCTGCGACGTCGACTTCTGCTGGGCCAGCCTCTCTTGCTTGCGGAATTTGGCACGTCGGTTCTGGAACCACACCTGCAACAGCCATACGAATGCGCGACCGTGTTAAGGGGATGTCAGACTTGAAAACATCACCGACGAAATATTGACTGTCTTCTGCAAGGTTTACGTCGCGTTGGTCGTATAGAAGCGCTTTTACACGTGCTGAAAGTACGTGCGCTAATGAGCTGAAGCATCGCTCATCTTTGAGCGATTGATTGACATCTCGAGTTGTCAGTTTGGTGTAAATATTTACTTGATACAAAAGTTCTGCAGAGAGCCCGTACGTACCCGCACGTGTATTTGCTTTGCTAACGAACATTTCTGTACGTTTCTGTGTGTCTTTACAACTGAATTTAGAAACTCAGAAATACACGAAAAGTCTGCAGAATTATTTCTATGTATGCGTGGTTATGTTTTTAGCTAGCATCGTGAAACAAAGCAATATTTGCAACATTTTATAAGATGTATAAAAAATACTATATTTATAGAAAATACGAAAAGGATGATATAATCGTGTTAGTGATGGCTTCTGCGTTATCGACATTTTTGGAATCGTCATTTACTTCTACATCCTCTTAAGTGTGAAACATGTGTCGTGTATAAAAGAAGAAGAGACGTTTGCAATATCGTCACTGTTGCTCCTCAGCAGCCACGAAGCACCAATCCGCTCAGATCACTCTGAATATATCCCCTTCACATATCTTTGAGAAGATTTATTTCTATCGATTCGCCAGACGGTCATAATCACTTGCGAGAAACCGCAAGAAGAAAGAAAGAGGGAAAGACAAGAATATTAGCATAAACTTTTGAAGTAATACTCTCCAAATTTCGTAAAGTAAAATTTCATTCAAATAGTAGAGTGATCACCACTATCATTTGAATTCGAATGATTTTTCGCTCACAGTTACGAATATTGTCATTGAATATTATCGCAAAATTGAAAAGTGAATCCGACATACTCTAGGAACAAATTCAGTCTAACATTTGCTCGCACAAAGATAGAATCCACCCTAAGCTTGAGTGAAACATTCACATTTACGATATTCGAGCGACATCGAGTTCGCCATTGCTTCGAATGAAAATACTTGTATTTCTCGCTCGTTTTGAGTGAAATTTCACTGCGAGGAATTTAGAAAGCATACGATGCAAGAACGCACCACGACAATCATTTCTTCTTCAGTACACATTAAAGCTACGCGGTCCCTCACGTTCGGCTTGATATCCGCATCAATTATCAAAGCTTTATCGCCGGGACAATCCGCATTAAATAAACATTGACCCGGCCAGAGATCGGAACAGCACGCTAGGCTCCCAATTAAGACGTAAGTTTGCGATGTCGCTGATCAACGGCGGACGCTACGTGTTCACGGGAACATCCCCCGCCGCGACACGAGAAATCGTTCGCGAGGAGCCTCGTCCGGATCCGCTTCCGCTCGTCAAAGTAAAACGGCGAGGCCGGCCGGCCATACGGCGTGCTCGTAATTGGCCCTAGCCGGCCAAATGAAATATTTAACGAATAAAATAAACAGACACCTGCGGTGACCTGCATGTTAAAGTAGCGGATTTATTTGCTTTAGCGTTTATCTGACCGGCGGCGCTGCCCTCTCATCCGC